AAGGAACTGTCGGCACAGCAGTTTTTTTCTTTTGGTGTTGAAAGTAAGGCGGGCACACTCACATTAATCAAGAGGCTGCACAACCAGCCAAGCGGCTCATAATTAAGGTGCCAGCCAAGAAGCCATCTTCATCTACTGAGACACTTTGTGAAGGCCTGGTATCCCCCCAGCACTGCAGAGTGGAAAGGCTGTTCCACTGAGGTTTCCTTGCGTACCTCCCAACCAGATGTGAAAAATGTGCCTCGCGGTGATCTTCCCACTCCAGTGAGGGCTGCCCTTTTGTCTACCTTCAGAAGCAGCCTCCCACAATCCACTTATCTAATCCTCCTTCAGGAGAAGCCAAGGGCTTTATCCCTTCACCTCTTCCACCAAAAGGCGAATGTTGGAAGGGGGCGTTTCCAGCAGAACCCACCACGGATACAGCCTGACTCCTCAACTCTTTCCTTCCCATGAGAGGCAACCAAGCGGGCTTCTTCGGTTGGGCTCTCTCTCCACGGCAGAGCTGAACTCTTCGCAAGAGGTCCGACAGCCTCATTCTAAATTCAGGTCACCTAAAATAACGTACGCGGGTAAGAAAAATGCATGTACATCTTTGATCGGCTACTTTGAGCCTGCAGGAGACCACCAATAAACAGAGGAGCACTCCATGTTGGTGTATAAAAACCTCTAGCTGACAGCCTAATCGTAGCGCCCTGCCTTATTTCAGAGCACAGCCCCAAACTGGTTGAGTTGGTAACTCTCCGTGCTCCTGCTATTCCCCAAGGTGCCTCTAAGATGATCACCGTCAGGGTCGAAGAGTCTATAAGAAGGAGAAACAGACCTGGGAAATTTCCACGGAGGTGGGGCCACGAAAAAACAGCACCATCACTCCAGCCATCTTCCGTGCAGACAGCTATACTTCTCTTCTCCGAAGTCCAAGAGCTCCTCCACCTGATCTCTGGGAGCACTGCAGTCGTAGCTGGGAAATGGGCACTGGCTAGTTTGCCTGAAAGTAACCCTGGCTGCTTGGAGATGTCCACTTCCCTTCTAGTCCTCGGAAGCCCATAGTCCTTTCCAGGACTGCTTCAGGAGTCCTCAATAGAAGCTGTCAGAGTGAAGAATAAGGAGGGAAAGACTTGGGCAAGTGGCATCCTCTAGCCTTGTGCTTAAGGGAACAGCAGAGTCTCCTGCCAAACCAGCCATGGCATCTTGTCACAACGCATCCACTGCTGTGAGAGAGACTGTCATCTATATAACAAGCTCAGCCCAACAGGAAAATACTTTGCCCAAACCACGGCCTAACTTCATCATCGTCCTTTTCCGTAATATTTGCTTTATGTAACTGGTTAAACGTATCCCAACCACTGAAGAGCTGGGTTACTCTAAAATCTGATCGCCCCTCAAACGTGGCAAAGATACCTCCTCGCCAAGTGCTAGCTGCTCTACCACCATAAGGGGAGATGTGCAATTCTTGGGGAAGCGGGTCCGATCACCAGTTCTTCTCCCCATTCCACACAAGTGTTTCACGGGTGGCTGATCCGGCCAATAACTTCAAATTCCCTTTTTACTTCTCTAGTAAACACAATAATTTAGCCTGCCCAGATGTCCCCTGTGCTTCCTCTGATGCACAATTTCCTAATCAAGGCAAGACCAGGGGGGGGGGGGGGGGTTTAAAACAGGGGGGTTTTCAATAGGGGGCGGGCCAGGCTGCTTGGGGTTCGCCACCTCACAGATCCACCTACATTTACAAAGAGGGGGGGGGGGGGGGGGGGGGGGGGGATTTACAACTGAGAGTTTTCAACTGCTGCAATTAGTTTTTATCTCTACTGCACAAGCTGAGTTTTCAGTTCTACCCAGTTTTGACTCTCCAGGTGACTGGGCTTACATGAGTTGCCATTAGGCACAAGGGCCACCTCTTGCAACAAGCAGCCAGCTTTGGGAATGCCACTGTTCAACGACAAGCAGGTCCTGACGGGAGCAACAATGACTTCACAAGAGCAACTGGCTGTCGTTTGGCCCAGCATCACTGCTTCTTACTTGTAGTCCTTTGAGGTACTTGTGGAGCTGGAAAAATGCTGGGAAGGCAGCCAACAATTTCAGGTAGGCCTTATGTCTACTGTGCCAATTAAAACAGCTTCTTTTCTTTAGCACCTATTACACCCTTGTCCAAGCACTATGGGTCTTTGTAGACCAAACAACAGCTATCATCTTCTTGCCCAGTACCTAGTTTTCTTCCAAGAGAAACTGGTCATTTCTTTCAGATTTCTGGATGCAGAATAAACACAGACCTTCGCCAGTGAAGGAAAAGAGCTGACATTTCCAAAGTATGAAGACAGCGACTAAGTATTCTTAAGACAATATGTCCTCAATGTTAATCTTGATCAGAGACATGCTGTGCATGCAACATTTTAGAGCAGCTAACATCTGCAGGATGAAGCGGGGCTTTAGATTGCCATGACCAAGCTCTTATGCTTCAGCTCCGTTTGGGTTTGTTTCTGTGTATTCAAAGGACAGAAGGAAGTTTTGTGGTGGGGCACTGGTGCCACCTGGCGGACATAAAGGATCAAAGCCACAGTTTTAGGTTAGGCATAGGCAAAATATGGCCTGCATCCGGCCCATGCATAGTAGTTTTTTAGTAGATCGGTATCGCATTCGTTAGCATGTTAATAAGCGTTGTTGTGGAAATGACGTGAAGGATGGAGGATGCCGGCTGCATGTGGCCCTTCTGGCGGCTACGCCGCACATGTCCACCAGAGGGCAGCGGGGCCCAGGGCTTCGCCCTTGCCCACGGGCAGGGTCTGCAGCAGCCACCTGCCGTGGCACGGAGAGCAGCAGCATGCACCCAGGGGCCTTTTGTAGATGGATACTGCTGGTAAAGGAGCCTGGAAATGTCCCGCAGGGAGAAAAGCAGCAACACCACCGCATGCAGCACTTGTCTGCTCCCCTCCACGAGCAACCCTGAGCGCTGGGGATCACGGCTGAGCCACAGGCAGACATGGGCTGCTTCTCCGTGGAACTGGTACCGATGGGATGCTGCCCGGCACCACCTATCCCTGGCCCCACTGTTCGCCCCAAACCCGCACAGATTTGCTGCTCTCAAGATGTCCACAGTGGCCATGCTGCGCTCCAGGCGGCAGCAGATATGGCATGCCTGGCACGGCACAGCAGCACCCGGCCTCACTCTGCAGCGGGCAGCGCGGTGCAGCCCTCCCCAGCAGCGGTGCAGCCATGGATGGGTCACCGCACAGGGGTGGAGTGCCAGTGGAAAAAGGTGAAAGGTAACTCTGGCAACATGATTGTCTGCAGTGATTTGGGAATTGTTTTGTGGAACTGTTTATGAAAATATGCTATTTGGGAAATTGCGTAGTAATTTGGGACCTTTTTCTAGAATTGTGCCTGGAAATCTGGTGATGTGTAGAAACCTGGTTATGGCATTTATAGTATAAAGTTTATACTATAAATGCTATCAAAAAATTTTAAGGATAGCTGTTCTTAAACACCATTGTGTGCGTGCAACCCTCAGCAGCCCACCAAAACTCACCAAGTGGCCCTCCAGCCCAAACAACTGCCTGCTCCTGTTTTAGGTGAGCGCCTTTTCAAGAAAGACAATGTGATGGGATCTAAAATTAAAGTTTGGCACTTTTTATTCAGACCTCAGGTGATCTGCTTCCCCAGGTCAAACCAGCTTATCAGAGAAAGCAGAAATGCTCCCTTCACATCTTCCTGAAAGAGAGCAACTATGAAGCAGGTGAACCAGAAAAAAAAAAACATTTTGTGACCCATCAGAGGAGCCTGAACGTTTGCACCAAAACTCCAGGTGAACGTGCAACAGCCCCAGCCCCTCTCCCACCTATCGGGTATAAAGGAGCACCATATTTATTTATTGCAGCCTCCCTGCTGCTGTAGTTCTCATACACCCGCAGGCTCCATCAGCCCGGAGATAAGTGGCGTCACTGGGGACTCGTATTGTGGAGAGATGGGAAGATCTTGTCACTGTGCCCTGGCACTAGCAGAAAACAGCTTCATGGTGACATTTAAACTTTAATTTGCATGCAAATGTCAATATTTATTAGACACATCAAGATCTTCAGCAAAGCACTCTTTCGGGTCTCCAAGTCTCACTGGTTATACTTTTAAATAGCAGGAGACCTCAGGAAAATGAACACCGACTCCTGGTAACCTGTTTGTTCCGTATACTCGAGCTTAGCAATTTCACCCCTATTTATTGATCATTTTCATGGGATGCTCTCTCTAACCAGAAGATGTGCAACCACATCCAAAAACAAAATACTTAATATGCAGCTTCAAGAACAAGCTAAGAAATTACTCCCTCACCAGCCTCCCCCAGAAGACACTGGGGTTGGGAACATCTTAACATATTTAACTGTTGAGTCAAAATAACAGATGCCTCCTGCCCTATGGCACAGAGCAGGAATAGCAATGTTTCAGTATTTTTTTTCCACTTGGGTCTCCAAGCTTTAATCCTCTGCACCAGTTTCCAGGAAGCCGCGGTTGCTGAAATGTAGGTGACAGATTTTAACCTCTTTCCTCCCACCAAGAGCCCTTTCCTCCAAATCCTCTCTTTGAGGGGCAAGGGTATTTCTTCAATGCGAGAAAGAAAACGGAAAGGGAGAAAAAAAGCATTCAAATGGCTAGTGAGAGAAAAGGAGGATGGATAAAAAAAAAAAAAAGAGGGCATGTGACTTCTGGACAGCAAGCAAAAGAAATGCTTGTATTGACTGGATTTTCAGAGTAGGATTTTATTTAATTGAAAGAAGCAACCCTTCTGTGATAATATAAAAAAAAATTACTGGAAATCTAAGGAGCGCGCTGCACATTTTTAACTGGCCTTGGATTGAACGTGAACACGCATTGCTAAATTACGAGCAACTGATTTTGTATCAAGACTGTGCTGGGGAAGTCCAGGGGCTCCCAGCATGGACAGGAAAGAGAAGGATACGAGGGCAGCTTCTGAACAGAGGTAAGAACTCACGGCAACTCTCCTCGTGAACATCACTTACCAGGATTTGGGCTCCCCAAAATGCAGGTAGTTGATGCTATAGAGATCCATGTCCTCAGTGTGCCATGCAAAGGTTGTCTTCCACATTCCAAAATAGAGGTAGGGGGTATTTACGCCTTCAATGATAATCCCACACTCATGCTCCACCATGTCCAACAGGGTGTTCAGGTTACCGATGTTCCACTCTTCCACATCCTACAAGACAAGACATTCGGCAGAGTCAAAGTAAAAGCAGATCAGGCGCTGCCATTGCAGAACAGACTGGTGACTCGGAGATAGGAAGCCAGCTAAAGTTTCCTAACGCCAAATGTGCCCTAAGTAAGTTCCTAATAAAAACTTGGCATTGTACCTAAATGTGCAATACTACACATATCACCAGAGAGACAGGGCTATCCTCCTGACCCTAGAGAGGCATCAACACATGCGCTGCAGTTTAAGAGCAGTAGTTCTTCTGATTTTATTTATTTTTTTTTTATTGTTCATAAATGCACTATAAAGGTTATTTCATATAGACACATTTTCTTTTTCAAATTAGATGCTTCAGCCTGTGGCGATAACAACCCACCCTTCTACCCAACTGCTTAAAAAAGAGCTAAGCTTCACAAGAAGGTGAAGAGGAATTGTGTTCATATTCATAAACTGGCCTCCCTTCAGCACCAGAAAAGTGGCTATAAATGTACAAAGTTGAGTTTTCTGAAGTTGGTTTCTTTGTTTGCATTCACCAAGTCCTCTTATTTCTCCCCATTCCAATACATTTTCTCAAACCAAAGTTCACCAGTTATAAAGAAAGATTTTTTTCCCCTCTTTTTTGGAAAGGTTTCCAGATAATGCTACCTTCTGCTGCTGGGCAGCTTCTAATTAAACTCTGCTCCCCAAACAGGCACCTCTTTGGAGCTACACCAGTGAGAAACTGTCTCCTGCCCTTAGAAAAAAAGAGGCAAATAAAATAACAGTTCTCTCTTCGTAACATGCTTCATTCAAATAATATATCCACTTCCAGCATCCATTTAGGAGGAAGCCATCAATTATAATAAACTATATAGTGCCCAAACTAGTCCAGGACTTTGAAGCCACAGTAGCAGCTGTATACAGGCTCTTAGGTGCACCGTTTTCAGCATGCTTTCAAACAATAAACTAAAGCAAGTCATGGTGCCTCATAGTTTTGACTTATAATTGTTAAAAAAAAAATGGTGACATTTACCTCCCCAATTTTGTTTTTGAAAATTAGAAGAAAAAAAAAAACTTTACAACGTTAAAAGTTACAACAGTTCTTTCGGTTGGCTTCCCCAAACTTATCAGGGAAGTAAGACCACAGCTGTGCACAGACTATTAGCAACGAGGGTGAACGGTAGTACAATCTTCAAAAAGGAAGGTAGCAATATCCTCCCTACCTGATACGTACCCCAAACAGTTATCGAAATACCTGTACCCGCCTGCTGCATCAACTCTAGGATCAGCAAGATTCAAGCCTCATGCACACTACTGAACTAAAATGCAATGTTGTGTTTCTAAATTAGGCAGATGAAGCATGGCTAAGCTTTCTGACAGCCACCCTAAAGTATCCACATTTATGCCAGGGAACAATTCATATGCATCCTGCAACACTTAGAAATATGGTATCTACTTTTTGTGTCAGCCTGTACTATACCACGGAAAAGACCCAGAGGGAGAAAACTGGGAAGCAGAGGCACACTGGCCGCCACTCCCATTTAAAAAACCCAGAATTTTCAAATTTCCAGCAGGTGCTCAGTCCCGAGCATGCCAGATTTATGAGGTTATGTTGTAATACCGATATTAAATGCACTGAGGTTGGGCAGCCAGTGCTGTGAAGACCTCAGAAATGCATCTTTATTCCAAGTTGCATGAATAAAAAGAAAAAAACCCAATTACTTTCCTTTACAATGTCAAGTAGCTGCAGCGCAGAATGTTTGCCCTCGGAGTTTGTTCTACTGTGCATACAGAAGCACAAACATTTGACAGTATCATCTCATTTTAACTGTCTAAATAGTGCTAACAGTCAGTCAACACTCCAGAGATGCAGTTTCCTACTCAAAAGGAAATAAATATGGAGGGGAGGGGCTCCAGAGAGCCTGATGCTGATTTCTAAGCTTCCTTCAACAAAAATGTAGTGTTTAATCACTTTCCCCAATAGACAGGATCTTAGTATACTCTATTAAAGAGCGTTCTTCATTCTGAAGATATATTCCAGTCCCCTCAAGTTCCCTGTAGTTCCAGTTGGAGATGGCTTCACTCTGATAAACAGGATCTAGCCTGCAAAACTGGATCACTCTTCTACCCATCCCAAGACAAGCAAGCAACCAGACCTACTCAACGTCAAGAACAAAAATACCCAATTTGCATTCTTTGCACACCCGTGCTATTGAAGAGACGCATAAGAACACCAAGAGGTTCTTTTTCAAAAGCACTCAACGGTGGCTTATCTCTGCTCGATTCATATTTTTCCTTCTTTTTGAAACTGGTGGCAATTCAGGCCACCAATATTTAGTGCATTTGAAAATCCAACCTCCAGTAAACAAAATCATATAGTTCATAAAGAACACAGCCTGTAAATAGTGCGCCTGTTTTGGTTAGATTAGTACTTTTAATGCAGACTTAACTTTCTTTGAGAAGGAAAAATAAGCCATGCTTAATTATCTAAAAATAGACCAAATGAATTACATAATGAGTCGTTTCTTTTTTTAAAAAGGGACGTCAGTAATGTCTGCAAGAAACAGGAATAGAAGGTCTTTTCTACCAAATCCAACACTATACTTAAACGTAATGAACCACAGCACCCATTTACTGGCCAAAGTGAAGATAAGCTTTTGATTGTGAGAATAAGGAGTAGGCTTTTGCCTTTCTAAATATCCACGGCACTTCAGCAAAAGATCATTATTCATTTCCTTGACTGCCAGTCGGGAATTTTTCCCAGAAATTATAAACCGCCACACACCTAAAAAAGTGGCCAGGGCAGGATCTGGGAGTAGGATCTGGCCCTTTGGGCCCATTGAACAAGTAGCTCAAAAAGCGTATGTATTACTTACTGCATCATACAGCGAGCCACTGATATCTGCCCCATAAATTGGTGAGACAAACGTTAGATTCTTCCAGTATTTGCGTTCCAGGTCTTCAAAATCTTGGTGGCGAGGAGTACAATACCTGGTAAGCAAACAGGAAAAGTAAGAGGGTAGAAAGGCATCGACTGAAGAAGCAGACGTTCGGCAGAGACTAAAACAAAGCATCAACTGTTCACCTTTGTGAACGGTCTAGATGGACTGGGCAGTCCAAGAGGCAATCAAAAGAACACTTAGAGGTTATGGTTTGGGCAGTGGGTTCTGGATAGCAGCACAGTGAAGATGATTATGTAGCAGTGATGCGATTGATGCCTGAAGCACACTGAACTCACCAGACAACCTGAACCAGATAGTCTCCTCTGGTTTCCCCTACAACCACTGCAGGGCCCAAAAGCCCACAAAAAGGAGGCACGGCTGCATCCCATACGCAGCAGACTCGAGATATGTACATCAATGGGCACTTACAGAACACCCCATTTAATCAGTGTGCTCCACTTATTGCTGACCACAACTGCTCAAAAGGTTTTAGAGTGGAAGTGCACTGAGAGTTACTACCCCTCTGCTTTCTTTCAATATTATTTCATATCTTCCAGTTAAAAATCTGAAAACTGAGCACCGCAACCATGCAGAAAGACATACAAGTATCATCTCCATGTCAGAATGGTGTAAGCTGAGGCACCGAGAATGAGCTGCAATGCCAAAAATCACATAGCAAGTCCTGCAGAAGGCAGGGTAGAGCTGTACCTTGTAGATTAACTGAATCAGAGATGCATAAGTTTTTGTGAACAAGTGCTCACCCTCATTAGATGCCAAAGTGAGCTCTTGCTCATGAAAGCTTATGCATCTCTGCTTCAGTTGGTCTCCACCAGTGGTTCTCAATATTTTTACATGAGACACTCTTCATTAGGCTTAAAGCACCTTTCTATGACTTGTGAATGGAGTGGCAATCCATTTCAAAAACCTAATTTATATAGTGATTACCAACTTCCAGAAGGGCCAAGGAATAAGGACAGGGAAGCGACCAGGCAGGGACAAGCCTGAGCCCACACTTATCTCACACTTCATGGCATCCTTGTTGAGAATCACTGGTATAAAGGTGCATCTCTCCCCTGCCTTCTGTCTGACTTCAGACAAACATGGCTAACTACCTCTCAGAGCAATTTAAGTTCCCTATTTTCCTTCTCTCGCACTCTTTTCCTATTGCTGATGCTAGAATTCTTAAAACAGGGTAATCTTCAAAATATGTATGCACAGAAGATTACACTGCTTTTAAGTCTTTTTTACACATAGGCAGAAAGACTTCAAAAGACAGAAAATTGTATAAGCACTTCACGTGTGTGTGTGTGTGTGTGTGTGTGTGTGTGTGTGTGTGTGTGTGTTCAGAGAATCGTAAAAAAATGAGGGTTGGAAGGGACCTCAGGAGGTCACATCTAATCCAACCCCCTGCTCAAAGCAGGACCAGCCCCAGCTACATCATCCCAGCCAAGGCTTTGTCTAGTTGGGTCTGAAAAACCTGCAAAGATGGAGATTCCCCCACTCCTCGGGGTAGCCTGTTCCAGTGCTTTACTACCCTCCTAGTGAGAAAGTTCTTCCTAATATGCAAGCTCAACTTCCCTGGCTGCAGCTTGAGACAATCCCTCAGCACTTGGGCGGAGCAGGGAAGGTAACAAAATGCAAAGCAGTAACATAGGGAATTTGTGGCAGTCAGGAATGGGATACAGAGCGAGGTGTCAGTTTTTATAGATATTGGGTGTGGGGGGGGGGGCGTTGTTTTAATGATCTCGCTCTACTAAGTTAAAAAACAAGCTCTGTTCATGTGAATCTGGGAAGAGGATTTCTGGTCTGTCAGCTTCAGCTAACTGATTTCTTTTGTGTTGTTGTGATGCTAACTAGCTGTGAAGCATCCCGAGGCGTACCCATGCATGCAACGAACACAAGCTGAGCTACTTCCAGCCTGCTCATCTACATAATACCTAGGCACCAAAGCCCATCTCCAAGTGACTAGCTGTTTGGCAAGTCACAAGGATAAAACAACTGCTTTTAAGAACTATGGAACCAGAACCATTTCCTCCACCAGACGCATGGCCATGGAAGATTGTCATCACATGCAGCCATTCTGCACGGATTCAGTAGAACAGGAAAATGACAACCTAGCATAATCCCCTGCTATACTGCTAGGATTCTGAATTTAAAATCTTACAAATAAAAATAATTGCTACTAGAATGCTTCCTATTTAACAAGCTGCTTTGCATTTTCTTCCCAGCTTGTCAAGAATAGCTTTCCATAAGCGCCTCTTAGCGCACGATGCAGCAAGCTGCCAGGCTCATGAACAAGTACGTACTTCTCACTGTTGGCTAGGCGCCGGTATTCTCCTACAGTTGTGGGCTTCTTCTGTATGTTATACTGGGTGAATAACCCTGACTGTCCAGTCACCACCTGTTGAATAGGTGCTGGGATAACCATGTCATCTATGTCATCATAGCTCCTTCGGGGTTTCCACTCCTTGGGAGGAATCACCTGGAAGAAGAAAAAAAAAACAGCCAAGTAAGAATCTCTCTCAGCCACACCAGGCAGGCTAATTTCCATTAAGAAAAATGCTAATGTGGACATACTTTGTGCATCAATTCTAGCTAGCATAAACCGGTTGCATGCATTTTAATGACTCATTCTGAGCAGAACTAGATGAGTAGTTAAAGGGCTGGCAGCTTGTCTACCAGCACTCATATCAATGCAGCTGCCCCAAATGAAAATCAAGCTTTTTTTCTCAACAATTCTTACCACTGTTTAGACACTGGTCCATGACCCATCAAAATAATGTATATGCTGCTTTCCCAGCAGACACCATAAAAAGTTGCCTTTCCTGCCACCCTAAGAAGTTGCAATTAGATATGCTAGCAATGCTACAGTCAGACTATCCACACGCCTCCCACTTTCACAGCCTTGTAGATGTCTAGTGACACTTCCTATGCCCCCCCAAAAATTTAAAGGCGTGGGCAGCTCACAACAAGACTGGCCCAGTCTACCTGCATCGTGGATGTAGCCTGCTTGTTCCAGGGTTAGATGTTTTTAAGTTCTGCATGAGGATTTTGACTTGTCCCCCCAAGTTAAAAGTAACAGGAAAAATTAGAGAACTTTGTGAAGTCTCTCGCACAAACCCCAACCTCGGTGACCTCAGTAGGAACTGGAAGCAGCCTATGCTGTGCAATTGCTTTTCTGCTCGATATGCAGCACACCTTTATTTGCTCCACAAACTTCAAGACCACAATGTAGAAAGCTTATTTCTGCTTAGACTGTTGCACTAAAAATGTAGATGATTAAACATTTTTGAGCTTGAAAACCTATGCTGCAGTATTGGCCGGTTTTAGGTATCGTTCTTGACCAGTCCTCAATATACCAGGTTAGTGAAAGACATTGTTTTAGCACAGTTTTTAAGAGCACTTTCCACATTATAAATACTTTGCATTCAGGGGACCTGCTTAAAACATATAGCAAGGAGAACTATTCTGATCACTCTAAGCCTAGTTACACGATGATTGCTCCAAACATGGGTAGCAAATGATTCTGTCCAGTTTTTTTAATCCTCTCTCTGATCTATGCCGAAAGCCTTGGATAACCGTTGGAGGCACTGTGAAAGCATAGTGACGGCCTAGCACCTGTTAAATAAAACTGTTTTAACCACATCTGGAGGACAGTTACACTACCAAACTTCCGTGAAGCAGGGCTTTAATAATTTGCTTGCCCCCCCCTGACCAAGAGGAGACACCGTTAGAGGAAGGAGCTGAGAGATCAGAACATAAAGGAAAAAGTAAAAGCCCAATCATCTTCAAAACCAGATAATGTGGCAAGAGTCTCGTGCTTTGCAAAACAGACAGACAAGAAGCCTATTGAGATGTTCACGGGGGTGGGGGATGGAGAAAGGAGGGAATAAAGAGTGTTTTTAGCCTTTTTGTGCATCTGGAAGATGAAGATGCTATTCCGTTTCTTCACAGGGGTGAAGAGAGGACTAACTAGGAAAATAACGTCTACAAAAAGTGCCTTGAAAAATGAAAAGTTGCATTTAAGTATTAAACATGGTAACTGCAAACCAAGTGTCTCCCCTTCAGTGCAGCATTTCAAAGGCTTGGTGTCTTTAATGAACGGTCACAGACACATTCTGCTACCAGCTCGTATTTGAAGTGAATAAAGGGGAACATATTCAGCTTTCACAAGCAGTTTTCTGTCAAGGTGCTAAAAGTATTACTTTTATTTTAAGCAATGAACAAGTCTAGGGGAGATTTAAATTGTGAACTCAAACCGTTTGATAAAAAGATAGAGGTCCTGCCCATAATAAAGCTGAAGCCCCGCTAGCAACAACAGTGTGTAAGTAAGTATATTGATGGCAGCAGCTTTATCCGATTCCCTGGCTCGTGTATGTAGGGGGATTTCTCTCCGATCTCTCCAGAGGGGTGCACACTGGTGTTGACAGAGAAGTCTTGTGGGTGGAGGGGGACAAAATGGTCTGTCCATACTAATTAGGAAAATCCTGATAGCTAAATTCTTAGGTAGGGGAAATAGTCAATATAACACCACAAGAAAGGACTGGGAAGGGAAAGACACAAAAAGTAATGAACAGTTCCTAATAAAATACGTGAACTCCTAAGGATCAATGAAGAGCAAAACACTTAAGGATAGCTGTTCAGCACTCTTCTTGGGCTCTTCTAGGAGTAAGCTGGTGGTGTGCAGAGCAGCTACAAAGCAGGGAGTTTGGAAGGTAAAACTTCCAGTTTAAAGAAAAGGACTGAAAAGAAATCTTAGGTTCAAGCTCAGAGGAGAAACCCAAGTACAGGCATGAGGCTTGCAGAATGGCAACCTCATAAGCTGAAAAGTCAAATATACAGACTGATAAGAAACCAGTTAGTTATGAGAGAGAGGAATGGCAATTCATGTGAACTTCATGGGAATCATGGAAAAGGTGGTCTGGAAGGGACCGTAAAAAGTCATTCGTCTAACCCCTTGCACAAGGCAGGGTTGTCCCGGTTTAAACCACACTAGTCAAGTGTTCATTTAACCTGCTCTGAAAACTTCTTTAAGTTGTGGAATAAGTACCCCAGAATAAAGTGAGTACCTATTAGACAGCCCTGTTTGGATAACAGGATTAATGTTCAGAGCTGTAAGAAGCTGCGAAGCGGAGGTATAGTACAGTAGGAAAAAAGGGCTATTTTCCAAGATCCAGAATTCACTGACAGCTTTCAGCTTTGTTGAGAACCTGCCCCAGAGAACTCAAGAGAATGAAATCATTAGTACACTCAAGCAGACAAGGAAAGTCTTCGTGAAGAGCTTTTTATCAATACCAAGCTCCATTTTACACCTATAATAAAAGCAGCGATTGACCTATGTCTTAACAAGATGCTATTCTCTCCTGCCGAACCGTTTTATGTTTCTCTTCTGTGTTGTGCTCTATTACTTTCTGCTAAGTGACACATGTATATCTGCCTCGTTAGAACAAATGGATCTCAATCCGGGATGCAACAAGAAAGAGATGCAAGAGGATGCTTCCCACTTCATTTGCCCTCCTTTTACCAAAAGATCCACATTTAAAGCCGACTCTCAGACATGCGGACTTCTCAGTTTCAGCTCTTATTATGAAAGGCTTCGGACAAAAACCAGGAAGATTGAGACATGGCAATGCCTTGCTTCTGTGGTCAACTGAGCATGTTTCATACATTGTTTATCCCCAGTTTTTTTCCCCACTTCAAGCAGGACAAGCTGATGACATTTACTTCTGACTAATCACCGGCCGTGTTTATTCAATAAATATATTTGCCAGGCTTAGCACTGAGGATTATTTGTGAATTAGAAGTAAAAGTAAATTAAAAACACGCTGCAGAATCCATAAACCTTTTGTGCTGGTGAATTCCCAGTGTTTTAGCTCAGACACACCCACTGGCTGACATCTACAAATACAGATATTTGGAAAGATTAGCAGAGCTCTCTCAGAACCACACTGAATAACCAGCACGTTTAAAAAGGGCAGAGATGGTGATCGTGTAAGCCGTATAGGATATGCAGTAATAAACCCACGCACACAGGGCATGGAAGACAGACCCTCACTCCACGTCCTACTTTGGAGGGCACCGCCCCAGGAGGAAGAGCCCAGGGGCATTTTTACATTTGAATTAGTGAGCTGCACTAATTAGAAGTGCCCGGTGCAAGTGTGGAAGTGGCGCAGCACACGGCAATGCTGAGAAAACGGTGGCGGTGCGCTCTGAACAAAAGCACATCAAACGTGTTTTAGTTCAAAGCGCACCGCCCACCATTTTCTCAGGGCTGTTGTTCACGGCGCCACTTATACACCTGTGCCCGATGCAGCACTGGGCACTTTAATATATGTGCTCCACCGCACCGGATTTCCAGCGTGTCAAAACAGACTTGCCGCATGTGTGCAAGTGCCCCTAGATGCCGGCTGTTATGAATGTTGCATTAACGAGTCAAAAGATTAAAAGCATAAGTAGCATTGGGAACAGGGCACCTTTCACAACCAGGGGAACGCTCATAAATCACAGAGTCACACTCCTTGTGTGCTCTCCTGCTGGCCCTATTCATCTTGTACTCTCAGCTAGGGACAGAGCAGGCCAGTTGTATCAGGAAGAAGGAAGGAGGCCCACAGCCCTGCCCAGTTCAAAGTCTGGTGGTTCAGGCACTGCACGGGGAAGTAGGAGAGGCAGGTTTAATCTCCCTCAGAAATGAGCAGCCTAGAACCACTAACCACTAGGCTAGTGGGCAAAAGATAGGCATGTCACCCTCCTCCTCCAATTTACTATGCCATTCACAATGCTGTTAAGTGTCTCCAAGGGAGCTGGGTGCGGTCATGATAGAAGGGTCTTCTTGCATCCAAGTCAATCCCAGGAGGTCAGGCCAAACCCTGGCCCAGCATCTTCTACTGTCCAATTCCCTGTTTTGTGCTTATATGGTCTGGAGGGACATGCAGCTGCCCCTTGAGAGCAGAATAACTTTGCACCCCTTTGGATGCAACAGCTTCATTTCCTTGAGGGGACATGTATTTTTTGCTTGGGCAGCTACATAGGCGTAGACATCTAGGAAGCAGAACAGGACTTGGGCTGCAGTCTGAAAAATGATGTCTGGCCCAATGGTCTCTATGTCTATGTGCAGAAATTAAAGATCCCACTACATTTTTGAAGAACACAGCATCACCCCAATGGCTTAGACAAGGTGCCTTGTAAATCGACATTTCTAGTTTTTAAGCACAATTTTTTTTGCCTGTAACACCTGTGCACTACAAGTATCTCGCACTTTATATACGGACCACCTGAAGAGTCACAGTAAGAGCAACACCAAGTGAAAACTAATTATTTCTAATTGGCGCTATGTAATAAGCACCGTTCCCAAGATGTGACAGTCCAACATAACTGGCATTTTCCCATTTAGGCACCAGACCCAGTAGCACTGTTCAGGAGCCCAATACTGAGCTGGGCCCGTTTTCGACTTTTGTAAGTCCAGCCAACCGGTAAGTCAAGACTAAACTCACCTTGGCAAGTCCTGCCCTGTGAGCTCCTTGCGATTCAATGTAGGCAACATATTTCGCAAAGTCCCGAAATTGCTCTAGGGTGGGACGAAAGGTCATGATCTTACAGCCCGGGTTCTGTGGACTTGGGTTTTCAGACCCCATGTTTCCAGCAAGTTTTCAGCACCTGAACAAGAGAGGAGGGGAGGGTACAGGAGAGAGCAGAAAAGGGTTAAACAGAAATGCATTCCTTTCCTTACATACTCCTTCTACAACCTCACAAAAAACTTATCCAGGTTTCTGTTCCCCCCCACAACCAATGGAGCACCAGTTACACCACCACTGACCCCTACCCCCCATCTTGCAATTAATCACCCAAAAATGTACTATTTTGCTCAAGAAACTAGACTTAAAATATTATTCTGTAGCCTAAAAGAAACATAGTTCTTTTATCAACTGTGAAGCAATGTTTCCCATCCATACTGCCGTTCTGAACTGCAAACCTCACTGTATTTTCCATATTCACCCCGCCAATTTTCAGACAAGGGGCACACATTCTCAACAGAATCTATATATTAATTTCCCATCTATACAAACCATTCTAGACATGGTACAAAATCACAAGGTACTGCATATTGGGTTTATTTTTCTACTACGACGGGGAATCTGCGTGTTCATAGACCAAGACACATTATCATTTGTAGCTACTGATTGCAAAAAAAAAAATGCAATCGTGATATAAAGAGATATTTCCGTAAGAATGAGAGGTGGCAGGGGGTGGGGAGAGGGCAGAGTGACACGATATAGAGGTATGGTCCCTACCCTCTACCTCTAAGATCCTAGTATCTTCTCTGGAAAAATTAATCTTAATTCATTTGTCTAATAAAGACTCTTGAGTTTTACTTTTCATTTGGTACCACAGTGTAATGCCTGGCCTATACAGGTTTTGTATACCAGAATGACTACGCTGGCCGGGGTGCAGTTTTGTTTCCACTGTCTGCACATGTATCTTGGGGTGGGAACAGTAATGCTACTATTAAAAAAGGTGCATTGGATGTAAAGCAACCAACTCAAGCAGAACTGGTGCAATCCTGAAGCATGCTAGGGAAATCTTTTGTAGAGGTGGCTAAGACACTGGCTCTACCTTCCCCCAAAAGCTCATGACCCCATTTGTCAAAGTGGTAAAAACACGTTTGACACCTCACTAATCCGGGATGACAGGTAGCATCAGTTTCCAAAAATGCCTTTTTTCATGACAGCTTGCTAGGAAACATCATCCATTTCTCTGTGACATGGAGTTGGACACTGTAATAATGCAATGTTCACCTCCAGGCTGTATTAGCACACTTGCATTGCCTATGGAATGCAAAATGAACACAAGCTTTGGCTTCTCCATTGTTCAGCCCACTGCAAGCATGTGTCTGCACCCAACTCCTTCCACCTCCAGCTTCTGATCCCAGAAAGGGAAAAGTGCCAGAAACTCCACTAAGTCCTCTACAAACTTTGCTACTGATGTTATATGGAAGGTGCTGAGATCCTATGGTGATGGTGGTCACACGAAGAAATAAACCTTACCCATCTTAGGGTTTTCTTTCTTGTTCCCATCCATGTACAAACTAAACTAGGATAACTGCTCCCCATCCGTGTACAAACTAAACTAGGATAACTAGGATGACAGCTGAGGAAGATTTGGGGGACTTGTACTAATAATTATAACAGAATACACATAGCAGTTATGCTTAAACAAAGGCTAAGCAAAGCCGATGGCTTGCCCAAATACTTCAGCTCCATTCATTTACTCTGCATAAGTGGATGTCCTTCAACATTAAGCTAAAGGCATTCACTTCAGCCCTCTTTTTTTCAGCATGCATACTGAAGCAAATGGTTGTCATTCATAATTTTAGAGCAGCATGCTTCTTCCTCTTCCTCCATTACTTTCCCTGAAAGCAACTTGCACGCTAGGTTACAGATAATGCTAGTTATTTCCTCTTCTGCTCAAGTGCTAATCTGCACCCAGTTAAGACAGAAGCTATTTAATAGATGGACTCCTACATTGTAATTTAATGCCATTTGCACTTTATAGTGGGTCAGATTAGTGTTCTGCTCCCTAAAAATATAGAAAACTCGTTTCAAAATCTCGATCAACTCAAAAAGCAACTGTTTGATTTCTTTCAAAATTTGCAGATTTTTCTTTTTTTTTTACCCTGGGCTGTGTTTAAAATTTGGAAAAACTGATCTTTTCAAAAGGAAAGTTAAAAAAAAATTACAAGGAACTGTACTTGCAAAGAGTTGTGAACAGACTGCATGCCTTAAAGACACGCACACTCCCCCCCCCCCCCCCCCCCCCCCACCACACACTCTCAGAATACCACGAATCTCACTAGAGGGCAGTGACGGGCTTCTAAGGATTACTACAATATGCAGCAAAGCCCCGTCAGCTGCAGTCATCAGATGTCAAAAGATAAAGTGGGGCTGAACCTTGCCGGGTCTGTACCAAAATGGAAAACCTCCAAGAAAAATCCAGGTGCAGCGTACTTCTCTCTGTTAAAAATCAGAACCGTGTTGGAAGCAACCAGGCTTTTGCAGGGACAGAGACATTTACTACCTATAAATACAAATACTACAGCCAAACCTGAACAGGGTACCAAGCCTATCTACAGAGAACTCCCACTCAACTTTCAGTTGGCTACCAGATTATTCATGAGCATTTTTAACAGGGCAAGGATTTCTATGGGTGGTATTTTATATTGGGCCAACTGTGCAGTTGCGATAGACTTGGACAAGCTTTGGAACGCAAAATAATCAGTGGGGAGATTTTTAATCAACTAATTCCAAAATTTGCACTTGAGTGCCCCTTTAAATTATATCTATCTATATATCTAGATATAGATATATATAAATGATGACGTTCTGCTGACTCCACTGCTGTGTTCTCCAGCTGCTCTTTATTGCAAGCTCAAGATCAACACAACCAAAATTTGGTCCCACCTCTGCACCCTCCTCTTCTCGGTGCGCACATCGGCCGCCTGGTTCTCCAGTTATAGCCGTGCTATTGGTTCCACATTCTCTTGGCAAAGACAAGGCAGGGGAGCTCCCTCAGCTACTCTACTACTAAAACTGGCTACTCAAACCAACAACTTGGAAAACATCTGTCTGTCACCCCTCCAGGTTCTCTCCCAATAATCTTATGGGTTGTCTGCAACAGCAATAACATTTGCAGGTAGAAATGGCATCTTCAGACAGACTGTCCTTTTAAATAATGGCTGCAATTTCATTTGTGCATTAAGAAATTCCTGTAACTACAGCATGTCAAGCATTTTCAGATGCTTCTAGGTCACCAGGTCCCTGGGGAAGGGAATGTATTTTCTCTGCATTGTAAACTATTGCATTATAGACTATTGCACTCTTTGCATTATTCCTCGTGCTGTTCAAATGTTTTACAATAATACTGAAGAGAGAGAAGCATTTCCAGTTCCAGGGTCCAACCAGGTGACTGATGTACCCGCACTGATACTAAATAGTTTCCTCATTAGCATCTGGGGAAATTGCATTGACTGGGAAAGAGCACATGCAGGTGCTTAATCCAAAACAGAGAAGAACCAGTAGTCAGGACCATGTTTCAAAGTGAGATTTCCAAAACCCTGTCCCTCCAAATTCTCACCCAACAGGCTGCTCTAAGGCAGGGGCAGGCAATTATTTTGGGCAGGGGGCCGCTTACTGGGCCACATGATAGGCAGCCAGGGGCAGATAAATATTAATTTTCTACATTTTTTAGGGCCCCTATGGGCTGGATAGAACGGCCTGGCGGGCCGCATCCGGCCCCCGGGCTGCATTTTGCCCACCCCTGCTGTAAGGCAACACAGGGAAGCTGCAGCCACTTTTAACACTCTTGAAAACAGAGCAAAACAATTTTCTGCACAAGCAAGGTGGGGAAAGTGGAGAAAAATCCTGCGCCAGCACTGCTTAAGGACAGCTTTAAAAGATCTGGCACAAGGTAAGACCTAACATTTCCTCCTGATGAAAATCCAAACCAATGCTCTCAAAGCCATCTGTCCCAGAGATGCCTCACCACTACCTGCAGGTTCTCGACAATGCCCCGGCTGCAGAAGTAGCAGCCTGCCACCTTCTCACCACCCGGCCAAAAGCAGATAACCAAAGTAAGCTAAAAGGAAGCGAAAGGAATAGCCTTAGGCATGAAGGACATTTCACTGACCAGTTGTGTATTCACAGGACTCTACTTTTCCCTTGAAAAAGCAAGGTAGCGATGTCTCTCCCTCTGCCCTGGCTTGCAGAAGAAACATAAGGCATCTTGGATTTTTCCATACTGTTTAATCTGATCTCGCTGCTCTAAAGCGAATCTTAACGGGCACCCTAGATAATACTTGCTGTGGCGTGTGTTCAGCTAATTAACCTAATTAAGCTATTACAACAGCTAACTATAGAAGCCATAAGCAGGAGGGGAAGAATCAGTTCTCCCACTTCCCTTTACTTCTGATTATAAAAAGCAGAGCGGAGGGACACCTGCGTGTCAACAACATCCTGTTATCAACCAAGGCCACGTGCCGTTCTACATGAGTAGGAGTGTGAAGCCCGCAATGCAGAGCTCTCAGACCTAGCTCTTGTGGAGGAGCAGGAGTTTTCATTAATATTATTTATTTCATTTTCCTTCTTCACAACTGCGCTGGCAGGTACCGCTGCACTAAGCGACACCCGGCGCTGTAGTTTGGACAGTGCTGGAGCATTTTACTGCTAGCCGCTCGCCATCTGCCAAATACGCTGCGACGAGGAACCGCGCAAGCAGCAGGACCAGCAAGAGCTGCTGATATAAGCCAGGCAGGAACTAGAAGAGTCTGAAGGAGATATTTTGCTGCCACGAACAAAGGCAGCCACAAACCGAAAGACCAATTTGGAAAGGTTTAATAGGAGAAGCAGCTTATTAAGTTGTCGGAGGAGCTATTCTGAAAACGCACAAAGGGAGCTCCCTCCTTTCATTCAGAGCCCTGAGCAACCTCATCCTCTTCCCTGGCTCGGGCTGCCTTAGCAAGGCCACCACGGAGGACCATTTTACAGGAAGGCTCTAAGCCTCATCACCAGTCCCTGGACAGAGACATCAGCAACCTTCAAATATGCCTCGCGCGCTTCTTTTAGCAGCAGACAACGTCCCAAAAGTTGACCGACAAAGGACCTGAAAGGATCACTCTTTTCCCTCCAGGACAGGAACGTGTCTGTGTCTAGGAAGCATCCAGCAAACTGAGCCCAAGGAGAAATAAGAATTTTAAGTCTTTTCCATTTTATTTTCCAAGTGAATAACCCTCTCCCTAGCACAGACAGCGAGGTAGGAAAGTATTCTCCTCTTTCCACACTACACTACAGTCGTTTGGATCTCCATAGGAAGCAGGTTCATTCTGCCGTTCAAGCAGTGATAAGCACTACAGCCATTGCCACTGGACACTGATAGCAACTCTCTTCTCGCACATCCTGGATAGCAGATGTCTGCAGCTTTTTTAGGAGCCACTTCTAAGGCACTGGGGCTAGGAGGTAAGAACAGAAAAAGATCTGTGACCACTGAATCAATGGGGTTTTATCACAGCCTTTTGCTACACAATCCAGAGTAAGAGGATGCAAATGTATCTGGTGGAGACAGGAAAGGAAGGTGCATGAATAATTGCAAAATAATATGCAAAACAAGTCATGGAAAGGATATACAACATACCTGTGAGTACCAGGATGGTCAAGTAGGTACTGTAACGCAGTACAGCAACTGCATGCAGAAGAGGAAACAAAAGAGAAGAGAGATCACATAAGACACTAAGTAAAAAAGAGGCGTAAAGAAACTCGGGAGGAACACCTGACCTGGTACAAATCAAGAAGTTACCCGACCTAAGTGCCTATAACAGGAGACGATCCCAGATACCAAGGTGACAAGCCTCCTGGTGAAGGCTAAGCAGGACAACATGAAAAGGGACACAAAGTTCAGTTCAGTGAATTTATTCAGTAACTAACCACCATTAACCACCATTTGCGTGTATAACTGTATTGTGCACAAAATTTTGGGGCGAGACAGTGAGCTTCAGCCCATGAAAGCTTGTGCTATATATACATGTCTACTTTGGTTGGTTTATTAGGGGCAAATCTACCCTGCCTTCTACATATATTTTTGGTCAATCCAGGAACACTGGTCTACATGGCAATATTTTGCACTCATGCAAGCATGAAACACTCAAAGCATTTTGCTGAAAGCCCTGGGTCTTCTCTTCTACATTAAACGCAACGATTCCAGGAAGCTCCATGGATTTTGCAATGAGGGGTGAAGAATACCATGCAACACACTTCTAGCCAGAAAACAAACAGGAGACCCCACAAATGAACAAAATGAGATTACACCCCCGCCCCTTGAACCCTCTGCAGCTATATGGTATAAACAGGTACAGGACAGAGGAATATCAGGTTTGAGTCATTTGTTAAAAATTAACAAACATCACTAGAGAAGCTGAATTAACTACAATTAAACTTTCATTCCATGGTTAAAAGCTAGTGCTTCTCAGAGAGTTCAAGTGACAAGGTCTAACGCAGCAATCCTCAAGTGACAAGGTCTAATGCAGCAATCCTCAATCGGGAAAAGTGCCTTGAGATTCTTTTAAGGGTGTTACATGGTGCCATGCACTGTTAGCACTACAAAAAAACATGATTCACAAGATACATCCAGAGGTTTCAGATGGTATCCACGGAGTTAAAAAATTCTGCCTTGTTGCGGTCTTTCCGAGTTCTTTGCAAGAGTAGAATTTCTGTATTATTTTTCCATAGTAAAAAAATAAACCCATTGAATATGCACAGCTGGCATTTTCTGGAGGGTGTCTTGAATCTAGCAAGGGGTGCTGCAAGTCTAAAAAGGTTGAGAACCACTGGTCTAATGGGTGGTCCCACTGCCATATATGAAGCAGTAAGCCCAAGGATGAATACAAATTTTCTTTGCTTTGGACTCCTCTATACTAAGGTAGGGAATTAAATTACATGCAAAAACTGTGTTAAAAAAAACAAACACTGAGGTGGAGAAGTCAGGCACTCGAAAGTTAGAAAGTGCCAGAATTTAAGCTGCCCAATGCAACGTGAATTTGGTCCCCTTGTGTATTATGATACAGGCATTAATTACACTTTTTGGTGCTTTTTTCTTTTCCCCTGCATAGAGTTCATTCCAGAGCTGGGGACCAGAGAAGGACACTATTGTCAGTAAAACCTGCCTCCTTCATTCCAAAAACTGGACATTTGGAGTGCAATCCCCTGCCTGGAAGCAAGAGAAAGCATCTTCCTGTTACGAGAGCTGGATGCATGTCCGGGACATGGGATTCCTTCTCTTGTTCTGCAAAGTTAGGGACTTGTTACACCTTAAACCGGGGACGGACAAAATACAGCCCCCGCCAGGCAATTTCATCTGGCTAGGGGTGCCCATCAACTAAGTGTACCCTGCCCGGCCCTTCCGCCCATGAGGGTGGGAGCAAGGTACCCGCCTCTATCACACAGCACGTGTGCAGCTCCCGCACTTGCACACCACCGAGGGAAGCCCCCTGCGATGAAGCCAGCTGCCTTCCTCGGCCCCGCAGGGAAGCAGGGGCTGGGGCTCCCCTCCACTTGCAGTGGAGTCCTGGGACCTACACGGCAGGGAGCGGGAAGGCAGCCAGCTCTATCACAGGTCTTCCCCTGATGGTGCACGGTCCTAGGAGCTGCAAATGCGCTGCAGGGAGCGCCACGTGATAGAAGCGGTGAGCTCCTCGCCACCAAGTGCAGCTGTGGCTGGAGCCATGTGCCGCCAGGCGGCAGCACCTAAGCGGGCCGTCAGCACCCCGAGCGTCAGCGCCCTGCTGCTGCCGCCACCTGCGGCAGGTGTCGTGCACCATGGGACGGAGTGTGGGGGGGTGTCCCCACGCCTCCCCTAGCCTCCCTCACACCCCACAAATCCCACACCCTGCCTGCACAACCCCCATGCATACACTCCTCCAACATACCCTATTGTCCCCCACACCCCACCATACACATGAACCCCCTACACAATATACAATAGTAAGACTTCATTTTTGAGTTATTATGCAATCACCTCTATATACACTATGCAAACACAGCAATATTTTTTGCAATAAAATTAAAATATGTTATAGTAGATGTTAGACTTTGGGTCTGTAATTTGGTCTCCAAGATGGCAACGCTCCCCTCCCCAAAGGAGTACTTCTGGGATCTTGGGACTTCCAGTCCCAAGATTTTGCCCAGGGGGCAGGGCCACCCTTCCAGCCCTCAACAGCTCACCCAAACTCATTAAGCAGCCCTCCAGCCAAGATAACTGCCCATCCCTGCTTTACACTAAATTGCACAACTGCTGATCAGTGTTAGTGCTAGCTGGGAGCTTGGAGCAGCGGCACCTTTAGTCCAGAAACCTTCTCCGACTGTCCCCCACCTGCACAGCTGGGACTTGCCACCAGCGGCCTGGGGAGCAGGGCCAGGACTAGGAGCTGTAGGAGGTCAGGAGGTGGAAAGTTTGCCCACAGAGAACAGGAGGGTCGAGAAGGGACCACTGCATCCTGGGATACTGGAGGACTTCAACTTGGGCAGCACATGTGTGGGAAGAGGCCTTTAATTATTACCCTTTAATATTTGTAAAGCAGGCAATACCACAAGTGATGCAATTAACTGATAAAGAGGAAACTAATAATTCTATCCGAGGGAAAGGTTGAAATGCTGTGCAGCAAGCGCCGCTTAAGGCCATACATTCGGCAATGAGGATAAAAACAAAATGCAGAACAGCTACTCATCAACCAGCCTCCAACTCTCTGCACCGAGGTAGGGATCCCCTGGAAAAACTCTGCAATTAAGGACTATCATAATGCATGCAATCAAGGGAATCAAATTGAAGTTGTATTAGCAAACTTAGACCTGCATGAGGAACCCTGGGGAAATGCCACTCAGGTTCCCACCCCTCACTGGTTCCTGGTCCCAATCCTTGGCCACACACTTGCTCTTCCCTCCTGCTTTTTGGCTCCTTTATAGATCCGTCTCACTTTCTCTTTCCTCCCCTGCCTCCCCACTTTTTCCCCCTCCCCATCATATTGAGCTGCTTGGAAAAATCTCCATGCTGCGGCCCCTTCCCTGCATTGGCCAATTTTCCCCCTCCTCAAAAGGAATTAAGTCAGAAGCAGATACCCTGCACAAATTTCAGCCCAAATGGTTAAAACATGGTGAAGATGCAATCAAAAAAAAGAGTGGGATGGTCCTTGTAACGTTGCTCAGCACGTCCCATTATAAGTGACTGGTACTATCAGGCACCTCTATTTAAAACTCTGGATACTTCCAAGGAAGGGCAATTAATACAATGCAGCAAAATTGGATAAATAGACCGAAACACCCCTTGCTGCAACTTAAGGCCACAGCTCCTTGCTCATGTGCCACCAGGGTAGGACTATTTAAAAAAAAAGTTAAATTAATCATGATTCCTTCATTCTTTTTTCCCCCAGTACATTCTGTGTTTTTCCTCCTTGATAAAAAGGTCCTAAAATGTTTCCAGCCATTGGTACTTGGTGTTTAGCATGAACTGCAAGGAAACATTACAACCTGTCCCCAGAAACCTTACACTAACACACACAAATGTTACAAGAGGGGGTTTTGGCAACAACTCAAAGTGACTTAGAAGCAAAAGTCCCTTTGAAAGTTTTGGGGACTGTGCTCTGCAGTCATGTAGGCAGCTGAAAATCCTGCATCTGTTGATGACCAAAAGCCCTATAAGGCTTAAAATCTGAATCTCATAAACACATTTAAGATTAACTGAGTCGTCCTTGGGAAAGTCCCTCGATTTGAAAGTCTGCAGACAAATCATTTGTTTTCACCCATACAGCCCTGGACTTCTGAAGGATTTTTTTTGTGGGCGATAGCTTTTATTGGCCCAACTGCATGGTTAGGATTAAGTTAGACAAGCTTTCTAATGCGTCACTCAGGGGATAATGATCTTCCTCCCTTTTGACAGGTCTTGATTTCCCATTAATCAACTTTTTTTCTCCTGCTAACTCTTCGCTACCCCTGGGAATAAATTTCCCCTCCCCACTTTCACAGCCCAACCCACTATTTTTATTCACTGCTCTGTGGGCAGCTTTCTTCAAACCTGATGAAGAATGCTGCGCATCAAAAAGCTTGCCTAACTTTCTCCCAACCATGCAGTTGGGTCCACTAAAAGCTATCCCCCAATAAATTCCTTGCCCCTCTCATAATTCCTCGACCAAAGCTACATCAATCCAACATTACCCTGGACTTCTGTATTTTCCAGGAGGTCTAATTAATACCACTGATCACAGATACGGTGCAACGACATGGCTTTTGACAACTTTGGCTATAGACAGCTTATTTTAGAGCATGAGAGTCTAGCTTTAACCAGCGCGGTGCTCCTGTTCAATGCTGTGACCTGGGTAAGCGGTAAGAGGCAATTTTTTAGAAATGTAAAGCAAAATGGGGTTGCTACAAGACTACTTCGGAAACAACCGAGGCACTTGGCAATCAGACAGACTGGAGATGATGCACTAAAATGACTCCTGTTGACAAACCCATACCAATACTAGAGGACTGCAGCCTCTAGCCTTACTTAAAAATTAATAAGTCTGAAAACAGGGCTTCAAATACCTAATGTAATTAAATGGAAAGGACAACCTCTAGTCCAGCCAGCCAGAAAAGGTTAATCATTCCTCTGGTGGCAATTTCTCTGCTCCTCCCATCAAGGAGAGCCTATATAATTGGAGCTGGTACACACTTAATAGATCCAGTGCTATCTGTGCTCATCAGTGCAATTGCCCTTTTATTACAGAACAATGA